CCTGTATTTGCAGGAACACTTGGCTATCTGTAACAGGGGAGAGTGCCTCTTAGCCAGTGCTATATATGAGCTTATGGTAGGACAGAGGAGAGAAAATGCTCTGATAAGTTTTTAAAAGGTGAAAACCTACTTTAGTTGCTGCAAGTAATGCATCTCAGACCCCTTCTGCACTGCCCCTATATCCCAGTAAATTATCCCACATTATCTGGCAGTGGAGACTTGTCTAATCCAGTTTAAAGCTAAAGTAATATCCATGGGCTTTGTGACAGGTCCACGGCATGCTTAGTGTTGATGCTTCTCCACTTCCAACAGTATTCTGAGCATAAATCTTTCCTCTGTGGTCTGGGTCCAGGGCGGCTTTGAGTACAAGCGTGCCATCGTGGACTGCATCATCGGCATCATCGAGGAGAACCCCGAGAGCAAGGAGTCGGGGCTGGCGCACCTCTGCGAGTTCATTGAGGACTGTGAGCACACGGTCCTGGCCACCAAGATCCTGCACCTGCTGGGCAAGGAAGGGCCCCGCACGCCCGCCCCCTCCAAGTACATCCGCTTCATCTTCAACCGGGTGGTCCTGGAGAATGAGGCCGTCCGTGCCGGTGAGTTGCCATATCTCTGCACCTGCTCTTTCTGGAATCGTATTATTTTTGATGTTGTTCTTGTTGTTATCATCATCCACATCCATTTAGTGACATTGAAGTGGTCATTTAGTGGCTGGAGGGAGATATGAAGTTCTTGGATACCCTCTGGAAAAAGTAAACAAGGCAAGAAAGCTGTTGTCCTTCCAAATCCTCTTGGGGTGATCCAGAAAGGTGTCGTCCAACTTTCCCTAGTAGGCACAGGATCCAGAACTGCAATCGCGCAGTCACAGGATCCAGATAAATAAACATCTTATCCAGCAGTTAAAATATAGTTATCCAGCTCACATCAACTATATTTGAAATGTTAATGGTTATCAATGTACTTCTCAATAGAATTGGCATTTCTGATATTAGTATTCTTTGAATATGACTGAATCTCAAGCAGTAGCAGAGGATTTTGGTACATGCCCAGGTGAAAATAATGATGATGATGATGATGATAATAATAATAATAATAATAATAATAATAATAATAATAATAAGCTTTCATTGCTGGAATCACTGGGTTGCTATGAGTTTTCTGAGCTGTCTGGCCATGTTCCAGAAGCATTCTCTCCTGAAGGTTTTGCTCCCAATCTCTGAGGATGCCTGCCATAGATGTGGGCGAAACGTCAGGAGAGAATGCGTCTGGAACATGGCCAGACAGCCTGGAAAGCTCACAGCCGACATTTGGAAACAATAAACATTGACAAACGATCTGTCAACTGCAAAAGGCCACCTGACTTGGATCTGTGCGTATCATTCGAAAATACATCACACAGTCCTAGGCGCTTGGGAAGTGTTCGACTTGTGATTTTGTGATACGAAATCCAGCATGTATTTCTCGTTTGCTGTGACATAATGTGTTTTTGTGTCAGAATAATAATAATAATAATAATAATAATAATAATAATAATAATAATAGGAATCATGGTAATAATAGAAATTTTGTTCTTACTCAGCTTTGCTCAAAGGGAGTTAAAATACTGTTTAACCATGGGATATGTTGCTGCCTGGAGTCCAGTGGAGTCTCCTTCTCTGGAGGTTCTTAAATGGAAACTGCATTGTCATGAATACTTTTTAAACAAAGGTTCTTTTGATTGCAAGTTCAGTGTGAGAGCGTATATTAGGACAACTTTTAAACAAAGTACAACATTAGACAGACAGATTATCTAAGCTACATTGATTAACAAAGAACACCTCTACTCAGCATTCACACTACACTGTTCCCTCACTTATTGGGGGGGTTCCGTTCCAGGACTAACCACGATTAGTGAAAATCTGTGAAGTAGGAACGCCATATTAATTTTAATATTTATACATTGTTTTATATATGTTATATATTATTTTCTTACCCACGCTTCTTTACCCGCCTCCCGGCCCATCCCAAGGGTGCCTGTCTGCCTCCCTGGCCTCCACAGACCCAGCACAGCCTCCATAGCCACGTAGGCAGCTGCAGGCCTTCCCTACCACACTTCAGACCGCTGCACTTCCAGGATCTGTGGAGGCCAGGAAGGCAGGCCTTTCCCACCATGCCTCAGGCCGCCACACTTCCGGGGTCCCTGGCCCCCCTGGCCTCCACTGGACGTAAATATTTTCAATATTTTCAAAAACCCGCAAAACAGCAAGTTCATTAAAAGTGAACCGCAAAGTAGCGAGGGAACACTGTACACGTATATATTCACTCTTCACACGCATACATCACCATTCTCTCACCGTCTCCTGGAGAAGGCCAGATTGCTTCCCTGCAAATCAGCCACTTTTCCAATACTTCCATTACTTCCAACACTTTTCCAAAATGGACTCCTTCCCTTCCAACCTAATAATAATAATAATAATAATAATAATAATAATAATAATAATAATAATTTATTTATATACCACTCCATCTCCCCAAGGGGACTCGCAGATAACATCACAAAACATACAAAGTAAAAAACAACATAACCATAAGATTAACAAAACAAAATATAAGCATAAAAATGCTGAACCAGTTCTGGGACTTAGATTAGTTTGGACTAAAATCCAGAGCGGATTTAGCACCACACTGTCATGGAAGCCATCATCTGTGATCAGATCGTCAGACAAAGAGTGACAGGCTTTTGGTTTCAGGCTACTGAATAGTGACATTTACTTGCCCCTGGATACTGAGTCTTCCTCCTGTCCTTCCTTCTGCAGCTGCGGTCAGTGCGCTGGCCAAGTTTGGGGCCCAAAATGAGAACCTTCTCCCCAGCGTCCTCGTCCTCTTGCAAAGGTGAGCTTTATGTCCAGCGAAATGTTACAAACCTCATCAAGAATTTCAGAATTCAACCTTGAGAGATGGATCCTTCCAAAGGCCAGGAAACCCTCTTGTTACCATATAAGGGAAAATCTGATATATTTTTTTGGCATTTGCTGGGGTTTGGGAGTGGAGGGGAGGTCTGGAGACTGCTTGCATTATTATTAGGAAGGTATCTGGCTTTCCCCTACTTATTATTAATTTATAATGAGGATCAAAAGACAGCGATCAGGAGGATAAACACAGCCAGCATTGTCTCATTGCGGCCTAGCTAACCTTGGCTAAAGAAAGCAATGTATGTACACAAAAGAGGGAAATGTTTTGAGGAGGAACTGTTGCTTGGCTCTAAGTCAACAAACCTCAACGACCAGAGGCTTTTTTGCATGTAGTATTACCCATTTTACTTTAAAGCAGGCACGGGCAAACTTTGGCCCTCCTCCAGGTGTTTTGGACTAACTCCCACAATTCCTAACAGCCGGTAGGCTGTTAGGAATTGTGGGAGTTGAAGTCCAAAACACCTGGAGGAAGGCCAAAGTTTGCCCGTGCCTGCTTTAAGCCTACTTATTTAGCATTCTTCCTCCGTAGCCTTTTAAAGCATTGAAGTAATAAAAATAGCACTCCTGTGCATGTCCAGAGTGCCATTCCATCTTTCCAGGGAAAGAAATTCCAGGTAAACATTAAGAACAACTACTTAACAGTGGGATAGGCTGCCCTCGGAAACCAACAGAGTCTCATTCTCTTGAGGCTTTTAAGCAGAGGCAGGGTGGGCATATATTTCTTTATTATTTACTAGCTTGGGGACCCGGCGCTGACCGGGTTATTTGAGAAAGGAATTGTGTATCAAGTTTGGGCTTTATCTGTTATTTATATGGCTCACAGTGGTCTCAGGAAGTTAGTGAAGGTAGTGTAAGTCCCATCATCTGTGGTCCATCCTCCTCCAAACTGCACCAGGATGGACAGTGGGTCATGCGGGCTCTGTGTGCCAAGTTTGGTCTTGATCAGTCATTGGATGAGGGTCACAGTGGTTTCAGAAAGTGAGTTAAGGTACTGCAAGTCCCATCATGCATAGTCTGTTCTCCCTCAAACCTCACCAGAATGTTGAGTTGGCCATGGGGGCTCTCTGTGCCAAGTTTGGTCTTTATTGGTATTTGGATGAGTGTGGCTGTGGTTTCAGGAAGTGAGTGAAGGTACTGCAAATCCCATCATCCATCCTCCTCCAAACAGCATCGGGATGTAGAGTGGCTCATGGGGGCTCTGTGTGTCAAGTTTGGTCGTGATTGGTCATTAGATGAGGTTTGCAGCAGTCCTGGGAAGTGAGTGGACGTACTTAAAGTCCCATCATCCATGGTCTGCCCTCCTTGAAAGTGCACTGGGATGTAGAGTGGGTCATGGGGGTTCTGTGTGCCAAGTTTGATCTTTATCAGTCTTCGTTGGGGGCAACAGTGGCCTGTGGGAACCGATGGGTTTGAAAGTACTACAAATCCCATCATCTCTTGCCTGTCCTCCCCCAAACCTCCCCAGGATGTAAAGGAGTTCATGGGGGTTATGTGTGCCAAGTTTGGTCCAGGTCCGTCACAGTGGCCTGTGAAATTGGCAGCCAATCAGAAAGCTGCCACATACACCGTCCTCCACATACAAACACTGACTTTTATTATATACATAGATTTACGTCACTTTTATCCCGCCCATATCAGCCCGAAGGTGACTCAGGGCGGCGTACAAATCGGCAACAGTTAGATGCCATATATAAAAATACATGGGCATCTCTTGAGAGGGTTTGGATTGTGTGTTCTTGCATTGCAAGGGGTTGGGCTGGATGGCTTTTGGGGACCCCTTCCATGCCTAATTCCCGTCTTCTTTCTCCTTGTTCCTTCAGGTGCATGATGGACAGTGACGACGAGGTGCGGGACCGAGCCACCTTCTACCTGAATGTGCTTCAGCAGAGGCAGCTGGCACTCAATGCGGCCTACATCTTTAACGGTTAGTGCTGGGTCAAGACCTTCAAATCCTTTGCATTTTTGTTTTCAGGTGCAGCAGAGGTAGAGACAGGAAGGCCCCCACAGAGGCAAAAGCTGTTTTTTCCCATTTTCCTGGCCTTTTTTCCCCTTAGTAAAAAAAACACAGTTCCCATCTCATATGTGACCACTTCACTGTGTATTGAGTTTCCCTTCATTTTGCAGGTCTGACAGTCTCCATCCCGGGGATGGAGAAGGCCTTGCACCAGTACACATTGGAGCCTTCGGACAAGCCTTTCGACATGAGGTCCGTGCCGCTGGCCACAGCCCCCACCTTTGAGCAGAAGTCAGGTAAGCCTGAGGCAATCTTGAATTACATTTACGGGCAAGCTCAGGAGGTCTGGGATGACCTTGAGCATTTCTTGAATTAGTGCGGGGTTGCCTTTGGTCATCCCATCCAGACCACACCTGGAATATTGTGTCCAATTCTGAGCACCACAATTGAAGAGAGATATTGACAAGCTGGAATGTGTCCAGAGGAGGGCGACTAAAATGATCAAGGGTCTGGAGAACAAGCCCTATGAGGAGCGGCTTAAGGAGCTGGGCATGTTTACCTGAAGAAGAGAAGGATGAGAGGAGATATGATAGCCATGTATAAATATGTGAGAGGAAGCCACAGGGAGGAGGGAGCAAGCTTGTTTTCTGCTTCCTTGGAGACTAGGACGGAACAATGGCTTCAAACTACAAGAGAGGAGATTCCATCTGAACAAAAGGAAGAACTTCCTGACTGTGAGAGCCGTTCAGCAGTGGAACTCTCTGCCCCGGAGTGTGGTGGAGGCTCCTTCTTTGGAAGCTTTTAAACAGAGGCTGGATGGCCATCTGTCAGGGGTTTTGAATGCAATATTCCTGCTTCTTGGCAGAATGGGGTTGGACTGGATGGCCCAGGAGGTCTCTTCCAACTCTTTGATTCTATGATCAAGAGAAAGTTTGAAGAAGCTCAGCATAGATCTTGAAAACATGAAAATAGTGTGATACTAGCTATAAATCCAAGTAAACTTGAATGCACATAACATGACTAGGATGTTATATGTGAGAGGAAGCCACAGGGAGGAAGGAGCAAGCTTGTTTTCTGCTTCCTTGGAGACTAGGACGCGGAACAATGGCTTCAAACTACAAGAACTAGGAGATTCCATCTGAACATGAGGAAGAACTTCCTGACTGTGAGAGCCGTTCAGCAGTGGAACTCTCTGCCCCGGAGTGTGGTGGAGGCTCCTTCTTTGGAAGCTTTTAAACAGAGGCTGGATGGCCATCTGTCAGGGGTGATTTGAATGCAATGTTCCTGCTTCTTGGCAGGGGTTGGACTGGATGGCCCAGGAGGTCTCTTCCAACTCTTTGATTCTATGATTCTATGACATCTCAACATTCTTCCCCTTTGCCTGCTGGGACTTGTAGTCCAAATTACATTTGAAAGGCCGAATGTCTTGGATCTCTAGCTCGAGAACATTAATGGTGAGAATGCAACATGCCTGCTTCTTGGCAGAATGGGGTTGGACTGGATGGCTCATGAGGTCTCTTCCAACTCTTTGATTCTATGATTCTATGAGAACATTAATGGTGATTTCTCATTTCAGAGATTGCCCTGGTGGCCAGCAAGCCGGAGAAACTGGCTCCTTCCAGGCATGATATCTTTCAAGGTAAAACATCAATACTCTTCATGCATCTTAGCCTTCAGAGTTGAGAGAGCTTCGTAATGTTTTGCCTCGATGGCATTCGTTCTTTGGAGAAGTTCCAGAGCGGGATTTGGGAGGCGCTTGCTCAACATTTACACAACTAACTCTATCCTTGTTTTGTCAGAACAACTGGCAGCCATCCCGGAGTTCAAGAACTTGGGCCCGCTCTTCAAGTCTTCGGAGCCGGTGCAGCTCACCGAGGCCGAGACCGAGTATTTTGTTCGGTGCATCAAGCACGTCTTCCCGCACCACGTCGTCTTCCAGGTAAAATGAATCGTATGGGATTGTTTATAGTCTGTGATAGCAAAATGTGACTCTCTTCTCTGTCAACTAGTTAGGTCAGTGGTTCTCAAATTTCTAAATGTCATGACCCCTTAATACGGTTCCTCATGTTGTGGTGACCCCCAACCTTAAAAATATTTTTCGCTGCTGCTTCACAACTGTAATTTTGCTATTGTTATGAATCGTCATGTAAATATCTAATATGCAGGATGTATTTTCATTCACTGGACCAAATTTGGCACAAATACCAGATACGCCCAAATTCGAATACTGTTGGGGTTGGGGAGGGACAGATTGATTTTGTCATTTGGGAGTTGTAGTTGCTGGGATTTATAGTTCACCTACAACCAAAGAACACTCCTAACTCCATCAATGTTCCATAGCCGAGGGGCCACCACTGAGAAGGCCCTGTCTCTCGCCCCGTCAGACGTAGGGTCCAAATTTGAATACTGGTGGGGATTTAAGGATGGGGGGGTGATTTTGTCATTTGGGAGTTATTATTATTATTATTATTATTAACTTTATTTGTACCCAGCTAGCATCTCCCGAAGGACTCGATGCGGCTTACAAAGGCCAAGGCCTCAAAACACAACATAACAATACAAAACCTAAGCAAATTAAAAACAATTAAAGCAATATTAAACAACAAGCAATAAACAATACACCAAGACACAATAAAACTGGGTTGTAGTTGCTGGGATTTATAGTTAATTTATAATATATTGTATATACATATAAAATTTATAATATTATAATGTAATACAATATAATAATAATACAATATTATAATTATATATTTTATATTACATGCAATATTACTGATAATATCTATATAAATAAAAATGTAATGTTAGTTTGTGGGATTAACATAACTCAAAAACCACTGGACGAATTGACACCAAATTTGGACACAACACACCTAACACACCAATGTATGTCCTTCACACAAAACATTGATTTTGTCATTTGGGAGTTGTAGTTGCTGGGATTTATAGTTCACCTACAATCAAAGAGCATTCTGAATCCCACCAATGATGGAATTGAACCAAACTTGGCACACAGAACTCCCATGACCAACAGAAAATACTGGAAGGGGTTGGTGGGCATTGACCTAGACTTTGAGAGTTGTAGTTCACCTACATCCAGAGATCACTGTGGACTCAAACAATGACAGATCTGGACCAAACCTCCCACACAGAACCCCCATGTGGGCCACAGCAACGCGTGGCAGGGGACAGCTAGTATCTATATAAATAAAAATGTAATGTAAGTTTGTGGGATTAACATAACTCAAAAACCACTGGACAGACTGACATGAAATTTGGACACAAGACACCTCTCAAGCCAAAGAGTGACCATCACTCCTAAAAACACTGAAAAACACAGCGGAAGGGACTTAAAAAGCCAAAAATGCAAAAAGATGCGCAAAAACAACTCCCCCGGCAAACAAAACACACAATAGCATATTCACACTCTCTTCCAGATTACAGCTCCCAGCATCCCCCAGACCAGGCCCTTTAGGAGAGGAGGATGATCCAAATGCACTGCTTCTAAGATGCAGCTTTCTTCTCCTTGGATTTCTTTGAGAGCATCCCAATCCATGCACATTTCCAATTTCCTATTCTTGGAGTGCAACTCCCAGCAATCTTCCAGATAGATTAGCTAGAGATAGGTAGGTAGGTAGATCAATCAGGAGGACTACTGGGAGTTGCAGTCCAAGAATAGGTAGAGAAGGAAGAAAGGAGGGGAAAAGAAAGGGAAAGAAAAGCGAGGGAAGGAAGCAAAGAGCAAGAGAGGGAAGGAAGGAGAGAAGGAAGAAAGAGGGAGGGAAGGAAGGAGAGAAAGAAAGGAGAGAAAGAGGGAGGGAAGGTTGGCCACAGCAACGAGAGGCGGGTACAGCTAGTTTTACAATATAATGGTATAGTACAATATATTAATATATAATATTGATATTGTACTATGCTAATAATATAATATACTAGCTGTGCCCTGCCACGCGTTGCTGTGGCCTATTCGGAGTGAGAAGGTGGAATATAAATGGGGAGGAGTATATCCTACAATCAAAGAGCATTCTGAACTCCACCAATGATGGAATTGAGCCAAACATGGCACACAGAACTCCCATGACCAACAGAAAATACTGGAAGGGTTTGGTGGGCATTGACCTTGAGTTTTGGAGTTGTAGTTCACCTACATCCAGAGAGCACTGTGGACTCAAACAATGATGGATCTGGACCAAACTTGGCACGAATACTCAATATGCCCAAATGTGAACACTGGTGGAGTTTGGGGAAAAGACCTTGACATTTGGGAGTTGTGGTTACTGGGATTTATAGTTCACCTACAATCAAAGAGCATTCTGGAATGCAACCCTCAACTTTACCTTCTGCCTTCAACCTTATCAGATACAATTGTCTCTAGGGTGTTGTATGATTTCCGGCCTTGTCTTAGCAGCATTTTTTCCTGATGTTTCACCTGAAGAAAGGAGGGAATAGGAAACTGAAAACACCTTTAGCTGTGCTGAGTGGGATGTATTTGAAACGCCTCCCTCTCCTTCCTTTCAGTTTGACTGCACAAACACCCTCAATGACCAATTGCTGGAGAAGGTGACGGTGCAGATGGAGCCCTCGGAAGCCTTTGACGTCCTCCGCTGCATCCCAGCCCCGAGCCTCCCCTACAACCAGCCGGGGATGTGCTACACACTGGTCCGGCTACCCATGGACGACCCCACTGCAGGTACCCATTGTCAGAAACATTAAAATTAACTTGGTATTTTTAATTACAAAAATGTAAATCAAGAACTGAAAGGGTTGAATGGATGTAATTTATTTATTTATTTACTTACTTCATTTATATACCGCTTTTCTCACCTCTGGCGGGACTCAAAGCGGTTTCCAATGACTCAGCAAAAGCTGCAATTCAATATAAGGAGGCATGCCTGTAGCTTAGTAGGCCTGAGTCTGAGAGAGGCCTCGGTTTGAAGAGGCTTCAGTGTGAAGTAGGTCTCGGAGTGAGAAGGCCTCAGTGTGAGAGAGGCCTCAATGTTATTTTATTTATTTATTTATTTACAGTATTTATATTCTGCCCTTCTCACCCGCAGGGGACTCAGGGCAGATTACAATATACATATACACGGCAAACATTCAATGACACACAACATATATAGACAGACAGTCAGAGGCCATTCAACATTCCAACGTTTTCTGGCCACCAGGGGAGCTGTCGCTTTCACCATCCATCGGCAACACCAATGAAGTGCTTCTTCATTCCCTGCATGCTTGCTGGAGATTTTTATGGCCTCGTAAATTAGTTAAATTAGCCTCCCCACAAAGTGGTACCTAAATTTCCTACTTGACAGATGCAACTGTCTTTCGGGCTGCAAAGGTCAACAACACCTTCAAGGCCAAATAACTCATTATCCTGGGACTGGCCAGCCTGGGAATCGACAGGCATTGAGCTCACAGATGGAGTGGGCGACTCCTCCACCTGCAGCTCTGAAAGTTTCACTCAAATCATTACCATCTTCTAAACAACATTCCTTTCTCTGGGAAACTGAAACGCCGTCTCGTCTTCAGTGTCAACACTGTCTGCATCAACAACAGGGACATGTTCAGAAACCTGTAAACTGTTGCAACTCAGGGTAGTTTTCACCTTGCTCCCAAACACCACCACACCAAAGCTGTAGATTTTGTAGTTTATTGAGAAAAAGGCAAAGTCAAAACATAGCATAGCAAATGCAAGAGTTCCAAAGGCAGGACACAGGCTTAAATGCAAAGACACAGTTCCCAAGATCCAAAGGCAAAAACATGAAGCATAATCCTTTAAGCAATGGTCAAACAAGAGTCCATGGTAAAACAGTTGAACACAAGACCCAAAATCCCAGAATCAGGAAGCCAAAAGCATGCTGCTTAAAGCCAAGGTTAATCCATAGAATTTTGCATGAAAAGAGCCACATTGAACTGACAATGCCTGTTTGTCAGCCAGAAGGCTAAATACCCTTTGCAGTCATGAACACATTGCGATGACCTTTGGCAGACTTGGCTTCACGTTTACTAGCTAAGCGAGAACTTCTCCGGATCCTTAATTGCAGGCGATCCTGCCTGCTCATTAATTCATTATCTTCAAGGCTCTCTAACCCCTTATCTTGGTTTACCAGCTGGGCTGGATCACCGTGGGAAGGCAAAGGAGGCGAAGACATCTCCACCTGGCCATGTGGGAATTCACTCTCGTTATCAGTCTCACTGACATTCTTTTCCCCTGAGAACTGACTTGCTGTTTCCCCTCCTGCAGCCTCACCGTCAACCCTGTCTGAGATAGGATTAGAAACCTGTAACCCATCATCCTCCTCATCAAGGAACTCTGGCTCACAAAACCCACAGGGCTCATCTTCAGACTCAGAGTCAAGCTGCTGAGTCACAACATAACCCATCCTCCTCCTCGTCCTGAGGAAACTCAGGCTCAGAAAGCTCAGGCTCAGACTGAGCCACAACAAGCAGCTCTTATCATCACAAAGCTTATCCCCCTTCTCAGAAGGGCTGAGCTCTGAGGATTACCTGGGAAGGAATCCCACTGGAGCATTGCAGCGCACCCAAATACCTGGGAGTCACTCTGGACCATGCTCTGACCTACAAGAAGCACTGCCTGAACATCAAACAAAAAGTGGGTGCTAGAAACAATATCATACGAAAGCTGACTGGCACAACCTGGGGATCACACCAGACACAGTGAAGACATCTGCCCTTGCGCTATGCTACTCTGCTGCTGAGTATGCATGCCCAGTGTGGAACACATCTCACCACGCTAAAACCATGGATGTGGCTCTTAATGAGACATGCTGCATTATCACGGGGTGTCTGCGCCCTACACCACTGGAGAAATTACACTGCTTAGCCAGTGTTGCCCCACCTGACATCCGCCGGGAAGTAGCAGCCAATAGTGAAAGACCAAGGCAGAGACATCTCCAGCTCATCCCTTGTTTGGGTATCAGCCAGCACGTCAACGACTTAAATCAAGAAATAGTTTTCTTAGATCTTCAGAGACACTCGCTGGAACACCTCAGCAAGCGAGAGTCCAAAAGTGGCAGGCTCAAACCCAGCACCTCAATCCGTGGGTGATACCGAATGAGAGACTCCCCCCTGGGCACACAGAAGACTGGGCGACTTGGAAGGCGCTGAACAGACTGCGCTCTGGCACCACGAGATGCAGAACCAACCTTCAGAAATGGGGCCACAAAGTGGAATCCTCGACATGCGAGTGTGGAGGAGAGCAAACCACTGACCACCTGCTGCAATGCACCCTGAGCCCTGCCACATGCACAAGGGAGGACCTTCTTGCGGCAACACCAGAGGCACTCCAAGTGGCCAGATACTGGTCAAAGGACATTTAATCAGCTACCAAGTTTGCAAAATTTGTGTTTTTGGGTTTTTTTATCTGTTTGTTTGTTTTGTTTTGTTAGAAATGTAATACAAGGTTCTGGTTGCGGATGATACGATAAATAAATAAGAAGGGCAAGCATGGGCAAACCTCAGCCCTCCAGGTGTTGGAATCGAAAACACTGGGAGAGGCGAAGTTTGCTCATGCCTGCAGTAGGGCATCCTCTCAAATATTTCAACATGGCTCTCCTATCCTCCTTGAACCTTGAGTGAGAGTTTGCTCGGCCCATGTTTCTTAGTTTGCGCTTTCCTCTTCCTCCCCCTGCAGTGGCCTGCACCTTCAGCTGCACCATGAAGTTCACCGTCCGAGACTGCGACCCCAACACCGGCGTGCCAGACGAAGATGGATACGACGACGAATACGTGGTAAGCCTTGCTCTGCGGCCAGGGCTCTCAAGGCCTCTGTGCTTGAGCCTGTCCACCTGAGCTTGATCCCGCACACCTTCCTTAATAATAATAATAATAATAATAATAATAATAATAATACTTTATTTATGCCCCGCTACCATCTTCCCAAGGGACTCAGAGTGGCTTACATGAGGCCAAGCCCAACAACACATCAATAAAAACAACAAGCAAGAAGCAAAATAATGCAATTAATATAACTCACACATAGACAGTAACACACAATGATTTAAAAACCTATGGCCAGGCCAGATGTAATAGTTAAAACTTTAAAAATAAATGCTGGACATTTATTTTTCCTTCCCCTCCTTGCCAGTTGGAAGACCTGGAGCTGACCCTGTCTGACCACATTCAGAAGGTCCTGAAGCCCAACTTCGCTGCCGCCTGGGAGGAAGTGGGCGACGACTATGAGAAGGAGGAGACCTTTGCGCTCAGCACCATCAAAACCCTGGACGGTGAGAGGATTCTTTTGTATCTGTTCCAAGGAAAATTAAGAATATTTGCCTGTAGGATGCATATATTTATTTTGTAGGTTGATTTTTGTAGGGGGAACAGCCTTGTGCAAACCTCTGGACTGTTGTGGCTGAGCTAGTTTCTGACGATGAGGATGATGGGATTCAGATTCCTGTTGGGTTTCAGCTTCCTGGCTCTTTGTCTGTGCCTCAAATCTCTGAGCCTGCTTCCGAGGCTCTCACAGACAGTGCAGTGTCAACACAGCTGTTTTCACCAGAAAGGAATTTTAATGAAGGGAATAGCGAACAGGTGCCTTCCCACGATGATACCGAAAGTGTAGATAAGAATTTGACCCGAGAAGCTCGTCTTGATCTCCGGGTCAGGCGGAGTTCGCGTCTGGCAAGCAAACGAGAGGCTAGCTCGGTGCAAGGTCATTGCAATGCTTTTATGATGCTGAGAGCCTAATGTTTTGATGTTAGAAAGGTATTTAGGCCTCCTGGAAACTGTGAAAGCATCAGTTCAACATAGCTTATTAGCCTGAAAGCTTCATGGAATAACCTTAGCCTGGAAAGCAGTACACTTGGGATTTCTTGCATTGTGATTCTTGGGGCAAATGGTTCCTTGCTTGTACCTGGGACTCTGGTTTGAACTTTGCCAATAGGATTATGTCTCCTGCTTTTACCTGAAGATCTTTGGAACTGTATTCTGCATTTAACCTTAATCTCTGGGACTTTGCAATACTTATTCTTTATTTTTACTTGGATATTTTCCTCAATAAACTGTAAAACTACAGCTCTTGTGTGGTGGTGTTTAGAAACAAGGTGAAGCCTACTCTGAGTTGCAACATGGACTTCAATTTGTGGCAGGGCTGCTTTTTAATATATTTTTTCATTAATTTAATTTGGTTTTTAACTATGGGCCAATCAACGCTGTGGAATGAATGCAGTTTGATACAATTTTAACTACCATTATTATTATTATTTCCGGTATTTCTACCCCATCTCTTCTCTACCCCTGAAGGGGGACTCAGGACGGCTTACATTAGGCCACGATTCGATGCCGCTTCATATAAAATTTTTACAATAATACAACACAATTAAAATACATAAAGCATTGATTAAAACAGTACATAAACATTAATTAAAACAATAATACAATATCATCAGCTGTACTGTACTGTACTCTTCCAGTTGCTTCTCATCAATCCTGCTATCACCTGGGATTGCAACATCGACAATCCATACATTGTTGTTGTTGTTGGGATTACGACATCGACCATCCATACATTGTTGTTGTTGTTGTTGTTGCTGGGATTGCAACATCAACAATCCATACATGGTTGTTGTTGTTGGGATTACAACATCGACCATCCATATATTGTTGTTGTTATTGTTGTTGCTGGGATTGCGACATCAACAATCCATACATTGTTATTGTTGTGGTTGTTGGGACTGCAACATCGACAATCCATACATTGTTGTTGTTGGGATTGCCACATCGACAATCCATACGTTGTTGTTGTTGTTGTTGGGATTGGTACATCAACAATCCATACAATGTTGTTGTTGGGATTGCAACATCAACAACCCATACATTGTTGTTGCTGTTGTTGGGATTGCAACACCGACAATCCATACATTGTTGTTGTTGGGATTGCAACATTGACGATCCATACGTTGTTGTTGTTGTTGGGATTGCAACATCGACAATCCATACATTTTTGTTGTTGCTGTTGTTGGGATTGCAACATCGACAATCCATACATTGTTGTTGTTGTTGTTGTTGGGATTGCAACATCGACAATCCATACATTGTTGTTGTTGGGATTGCAACATGACAATCCATACATTGTTGTTATTGCTGTTATTATTATTATTATAAATGGATCAGTCTCCCAAATGTGTCCTAAAAGTTTTAGAAGTGGCATTTTCTCGTTCCTGCCCTGGTCCTTTTAGTACTGACAATGCAAACAAATACAAGCCTCGTTCTTTGGCTTCAGTGGGAAGAAGGGAACCGGAATCCTCCCTTTTTGTCAGCAGCAGCAGTGACCCAGTTCCTCTCTTAACAAGGCGACTGTCTGCTGTCTCTCAGAGTTTGCGATAACCCTTTGGTCCTGGCGAGGGACAGTGCGGCCCTAACCCCGTCTCTTTCCCAAACCCTCTCTCTGAATGCAGAAGCGGTCAACAACATTGTGAAGTTCCTTGGCATGCAGCCCTGCGAGAGGTCGGACAAAGTGCCCGAGAACAAGAATTCCCACACCCTCTACCTGGCGGGTAAGGATCTCTCGCGCCATCTCAGTTTTCCAGGGCTGAAATCACAACACAGCGAGAGTCGCCGTCTTTTTCTTTTTCCTGGAAGGAACTGCAGTATCTGTTTACTTGCAAGGACAGGTCTTCTTCAAGGTAGAGCTGAAGGTTACTTTTTGAGGTCATTCAGAGTCTTAAGGGATTGCATTTTTCTGAATATTGGGTTGTTGTGGGTTTTTCCGGGCTATCTGGCCATGTTCTAGAGGCATTTTCTCCTGACGTTTCGCCTGCATCTATGGCAAGCATCCTCAGAGGTAGTGAGGTCTGTTGGAACTAGGAAAAATGGGTTTATATATCTGTGGAAAGACCAGGGTGGGACAAAGGATTTTTGTCTGCTGGGGCTAGATGTGAATGTTTCAGCTGATCACCTTGATTAGCATTCAATGGCTTGGAAGTGCCCGGGGGGACTTCCAAGCCATTGTTTTTTCATTGTTCATTTTCATTTTGTTGTTGGGATTGCAACATTTTGTTCATTTTCAACCTGGACACAGCATATTATTTGAGAACACAGAAATGCTGGACCACTCTCACAACCACCATGTCAGACAACACAGAGAAGCCATTGAAATCCACAAGCATGTGGACAATTTCAACAGAAAGGAGGAAACCATGAAAATGAACAAAATCTGGCTACCAGTATTAAAGTACTCAAAAATCACAACAGCAAAACAACAGACGGGAAACAAACAGGCACATGAAATCACTCTCAACAAAAGATTCCCCCCAGACGCTGCCAAGCCATTGAATGCAAATCTAGGTGATCAGCTGAAACATCCACAGCTAGCCCCAGCAAACAAAAGTCCTTTGTCTCACCCTGGTCATTCCACAGATATATAAACCCATTTTTCCTCGTTCCAACAGACCTCATTACCTCTGAGGATGCTTGCCATAGATGCAGGCGAAACGTCAGGAGAAAATGCCTCTAGAACATGGCCATATAGCCCTGAAAAACCTACAACAACCCATGGATTCCGGCTATGAAAGCCTTCGACAATACATCTCCGAATATTGTTCTGTCTGTTCCTAAAGCCCTTCAGTGACGAAGAATAGCCTTCTTTCATGGTTAGGACGAGTTGACAAAGTTATAGTCGAGTTCAGCTGTGGCCAAACTTGGGCCCTCCAAGTGTTTTGGACTGCAACTCCCACAATTCCTAATAGCCTCAGACCCCTTCCTTTTCCCCCTCAGCCGCTTAAGCTGAGTTAACCTGTACTGGACAGGGTTACACTCCCCCTGAAGTCACAGGTCCGCAGTTTGGGAGTCCTCCTGGACTCATCACTTATGTTTGAGGCTCAGGCATCGGCGGTGGCTGGGACGGACTTACAACTAAGACTCGTGCGCCAACTGCGACCATACCTCGTGAAGGCGGATCAGGCCAGGGTGGTCCATGCCTTAGTCACCTCCAGATTGGACTACTGTAATGCACTCTACGTGGGGCTGCCCTTGAAAACGGCCCGGAAATTTCAGTTGGTCCAACGGGCGGCGGGAGAGGTCAGCCCTCCTGTTTAAGGAGCTCCATTGGCTGTCGTTCATTTTCCGGTCCCAATTCAAGGTGCAGGTGCTTACCTACAAAGCCCTAAAAGGTTTGGGACCCATCTACCTGCGTGAACATCTCTGTGTACGAACCCACAATTTCTTCAATCATCTGGAGAGGCCCTGCTCACGATCCCACCTGCATCGCAAGCACGATTGGGGGGGACGAGGGACAGGGCCTTCTCGGTGGTGGCCCCACAACTCTGGAATTCCCTCCCCAAGGACATCAGGTAGGCCCCAACATTGGCAGTCTTTAGGAGCTTGAAAACGTGGATGTTCCAGTGTGCCTTCCGAGAATAAGGAATCCTAAGCAATATGTCCCAAATGCACTTTATGAGAGACTTAGAATGGTCTGCACACCCACCTATCCTAAAATATCCATCCTATTTCCCTTGGACATGCCCAGCATTTTTAATTTTAACCTTTGCACTTGGCCCTGCCACAGGTTTTTAAATGCGTCGTGTCATTATTGTACTGTTTTTTGCTTTGTTATGAGTTATTTATTGTTGTATTGTTGTTGTTATGTTTTTATGATGTATTTGGGCTCAGCCTTTTGTAAGCCGCACCGAGTCCTGCGGGAGATGGTAGCGGGGTATAAATAAAGGTTTATTATTATTATTATTATTAACTATGAGTTAATTAATTTATTAATTAAGGCATTCATTCCTACCGGCTGTTAGGAATTGTGGGAGTTGAAGACCAAAACATCTGGAGGGAAGGCCCAATTTTGCCCATGCCTGCCTCAGAGCCATCCAAGCTTCCTTTCTTTGTTCCCTTCCAGGTGTGTACCGAGGCGGCTTAGACGTCCTGGTGAGAGCGAGGCTGGCCCTTGGGGACGGAGTGACCATGCAGGTGACGGTCCGCAGCATCCTGGAGACCCCCGTGGACGTCATTCTGGCCTCCGTCGGCTAAGAGTTGCGGCAGCCCAAGCCGGAACTATGCCATCCGGAAGGCACTCCGGGGATCGACCATACCGCATGTTTTGGGGTTTTTTGTTTCTCCTCCGCTCTCTTGACCCACACAGTCATTGCGTGTCGGCTGAAAGGGAAAGTGTCTTCTCTTCTGTGCCACGAAAGCTGGGATGACGCCCTTCTTTTCCTTCCCAGCTCCACTCCGTCATTCCTGTATAAACTATTGTTTCTGTGCTGTCGTTAGAATCCAGGAAATTTTTTTAAAGAGCCAAACTTTTCACCAATGGATTTTTATTAGCAGAAAATAAAACAGGGCGCATTGATTCGTGCAACACGTAATTGAATAGCTGCCTCGACTGTGCGGCTGTATTTTACATCCGGTCACAAGGACACCGTTTGGTTTCTGACAGTCACAGCCTACAAAATTCCCACCATAATATTGCCAAAACTAGTTACTTTAGATACCAGTATTGCAAGGAAGATTGGGAGAATAAGGAAGGGGGGAAACCAGGTACTGTGACTACAGTAGTCTTGGTTATCTGACCTCCTCATCCGACACTTCATATTATCAGTTTCCCATCATGGTGCGCCTGAGCAGACAGTTTGGAACCTTCCAGATAGATTTGAAAACTTTTCTGGTGGTTAGCCCCACCCACTCTCCACTTGTGAGTACAAGTAGCTAGTGGACGGACCATATTATCAGACACCCCACTTGTCCCGGCAGCCGGCTCCTTCCTTTGCTCACTCACCTGCCCTCCTGGCTGGGTTCTGATTCTGCGCAAGTGAGGGAGGGCGGCAAAGGTGGCGGCAGAAGCAGAAGCTTGGCCTCCCCTTCCTGCCTCCTCCCCATATGGCTCATCTTGGTAGCAAAGGCGGCAGCAGCAGTGACCACCTTTGCCGCCCCCGCTCGCTCGCACACTGAGCCGGGTCCTGGTTCTGCCACCACTGCCACCAGGACCAGGCTTAGTGAGGGAGCATGGATGAGTGAGTGAGGGCGGGGGGTGGCGGCATAGGTGGCAGCAGCGGTAAAGCAGGAGCCTGAAAGAGGCGGCCAGGCTCCTGCTGCTACCTTTGCAGCCCTTGCTCGCTTGCTCACTCACTGGGCTGGGTCTTAGTGGCAGCGGCGGTGGCAGAACCAGAACCCAGCCCAGTGATTTAGCGAGCAAGCAAACAAGGGCTGCAAAGGTGGCCGCCGCTGCTCGGATGAGTGGGGTAGGGAACTGGGGCCTGGAGGAGGCAGGAATGGGAGGCCAAGCTCCTGCTTCTGCTGCCGCCTTTGCAGCCCTCGTTCACTTGCACGCTCACTGGGCTGGGTCTCAGTGGCAGCGGTGGTGGCAGAACCAGGACCCAGACCGGTGAGTGAGCGAGCAAGCGAGGGAGGGCTGCAAAGGTGGCCACCACTGCTGGGATGAGTGGTGTAGGGAACTGGGGCCTGGAGGAGGCAGGAAGGGTAGGCCTGTATAGTCTCACCACCTCTTGATCTCTTCAGCTTCTGCTAGATCCCTGCCATCTTTGTTTTTAAGCCCATTCAACCTCACTCCTCAGGATGTCTGGTTCTAACTCACCACACCGTCAAAACTATCCTCAGTATTATTATCCTGCCTATGCAGATCTTCTGTATAGTCTCGCCACTTTCTCTTCATCTCTTCAGCTTCTGTTAGGTCCCACCATCTTTGTTTTTAAGCCCATTCAACCTCACTCCTCAGGATGTCTGGTTCTAACTCACTCACCACACCGTCAAAACTATCCTCAGTATTATTATCCTTCCTATGCAGATCTTCTGTATAGTCTCACCACCTTCTCTTGATCTCTTCAGCTTCTGTTAGGTCCCTGCCATCTTTGTTTTTAAGCCACCCATTCAACCTCACTCCTCAGGATGTCTGGTTCTAACTCACTCACCACACCGTCAAAACTATCCTCAGTATTATTATCCTTCCTATGCAGATCTTCTGTATAGTCTCACCACCTTCTCTTGATCTCTTCAGCTTCTGTTAGGTCCCTGCCATCTTTGTTTTTAAGCCACCCATTCAACCTCACTCCTCAGGATGTCTGGTTCTAACTCACTCACCACACCGCCAAAACTATCCTCGGTATTATTATCCTTCCTATGCAGATCTTCTGTATAGTCTCGCCACCTTCTCTTGATCTCTTCAGCTTCTGTTAGGTCCCTGCCATCTTTGTTTCTTATCATGCCAATTTTTGCCTGCTATTTACCTCCAATGTTTCTAATTTTCTGGAAGAAGTCTATTGTCTTCTTCCACTTCCATGCATTGCTTGTTTAAAAATAGTTCCTTATCTCTTCTGGCTAACCTCTGGAATTGCGCATTTAACTGGGCATATCTCCCCCTAGCACTGTCTCCTTTTGCTTTCCTCCTTTCTTGGGCTACTTCCAGCTTCTCAGCAGACAACCATCTTGCCTTCTTGCTTTTCTTTTTCTTTGTGTCTCCTATCTGGACACAAACCATCTGCCTGCTCCTTAAGCCTGGACACAACACAATCTCCATCTCGATGGCCAAGAACATTGAGATGCAGACCCTCACAGAACATCCTTCTGCTGTCTCTCCTAAAGACAAGATGTGCTTTGTGTTGTGTGCAACTGAGTTATGGGAGGCATTAAAGGAACAGGAGAGTCTCCTCTCCTGGACTCGAGCGTTTCTCTCTCTGCTTGGCAGCTCACCAACTTCTTGAAAGGCAGAAACAGACACAAGGGAGGTCTGGAATCCCTCAACTGGGGTGAGATGGTTTCTCTCTCCCCAAAAGCAACTTCCTTCTTTGGGAAGGTTAAGGCAGCCCAAGCTTTGCCAGGGAAAGACGGGTATCTGAGGCTTCCTCTGCCCATCTTGTCCTTCTCCGCTGTTCATTCCACCAAGAGAAGAAAAATACAGAACCATCTGTACCAGGAAGAACGTTTCTCTGTGCCATATTACGACGCAATATTAAGGGAAGGATGTATTAAAAGGCAAACGAGAGCACACATTATTTGGCTCAGGCTCGCTCTCAGCACCTTCCGTCTCCATTTAGGTTTTGATGCAGGAATCCCACAATGTAGCTCAGGCATGGGCCAACTTGGGCCCTCCCTCCAGGTGTTTTGGACTCCAACTCCCACAATTCCTAGCAGCCTACCGGCTGCTAGGAATTGTGGGAGTTGGAGTCCAGAACACCTGGAGGGAGGGCCCAAGTTGGCCCATGCCTGATGTAGCCCTATTCAATGTAAACAAACCAACAAGCCCCCCCCCCCCAAATGTCTCTGGAGAAGGGAAGTCCTGGCTCAGAAAGAGTTGATGAAGTTCAAGTAAGCGTTCAAGAAGCCCTGGGGGTCCTCCAGTTGTGGGTAGTGGCTGATGTGGTCGTCCAGGACGGAGACCGTGGACATCGGAAGCACTTCTCTGCAAAGGAAGAAGAAACGTCTCTCAGAACATCACGACACAAGACAGAATAGGACGCAGAACAATGGCTTCAAACTACAAGAAAGGAGATTCCATCTGAACATGAGGAAGAACTTCCTGACTGTGAGAGCCGTTCAGCAGTGGAACTCTCTGCCCCGGAGTGTGGTGGAGGCTCCTTCTTTGGAAGCTTTTAAACAGAGGCTGGATGGCCATCTGTCAGGGGTGCTTTGAATGCAATATTCCTGCTTCTTGACGGGGTTGGATTGGATGGCCCATGAGGTCTCTTCCAACTCCTCCAATTTCTCCTAACACTATGATTCCATGACTCCTAGAGTTAGAAGGGACCCCTAAAGGCCATCTAGTCCAACCCCCTTCTGTTATAAGATAGGTGAGATGGATTGATTAGAGGGTTGGATGGACTCTTAGAATTGGAAGAGACCTTTGAAGGTCATCCAGTCCAAACCCCTTCTGTCATAATAGATAGGTGAGATGGATAGATTAGATGGCTCGATAGACCCTTAGAATTGGAAGGGACCTCTGAAGGTCATCCAGTCTAACCCCCTTCTACCATAATAGATAGGTGAGATGGATAGATTAGGTGGCTAGATAAGACTCTTAGAAGTGGAAGGGACCTCTAAAGGTCGTCCAGTCCAATCCCCTTCTACTATAATAGATACATCCATACATACATGAATAGATAGACTCATAGAGTGGGAAGGCACCCCAAAGGTCATCTAGTCCAACACACTTCTGTCAAGATTGATAGATGGATTAGCTAGATAGATTGGATGGATGGATAGATTAGATAGACTAATTCCTAGTTAGAAGGAGCCAAACATGACCATCCAGTCCAACCCCCTTCTGTCATAATAGATAGGATAGATAGATAGATAGATAGATAGATAGATAGATAAGATACCTAGATAGACTCTTAAAACTGGAAGGGACCCCTAAAGGCCATCTAGTTCAACACCCTTCTGCCATAGTAGGTAGGTAGATAGACAGACAGACAGATAGATAGATACAAACATGGATAAATAGACTCCTAGAGTGGGAAGGCACCCCTAAAGGCCATCTAGTCCAACACTCTTTGACCATAATAGATAGAGTGATGGATAGATAGATTAGATAGACAGATAGACAGACTGACTGACTGACTCCTGGTGTTAGAAGGGAACCTAAAGAAGGCCATCCAGTCCAACCCCCTTCTGTCATAATAGATAGATTAGATTGATTAGATAGATAAGACTAGTTGGAAGGGACCCCTAAAGGCCATCCAGTCCAAACCCCTTCTAATATAATAGATAGGTGGATAGATTAGATGGCTAGATAGACTCTTAGAATTGGAAGGGACCTCTAAAGGTCATCCAGTCCAATCCCCTTCTACCATAATATATACATTCATACATAGACTCCTAGAGTGGGAATGCAACCCTAAAGGTCATCTAGTCCAACACTCTTCTGCCATGATTGATAGATGAATTAGCTAGATAGATTGGATGGATGGATAGATTCGATAGACTAATTCCTAGAGTTAGAAGGGAAGCCAAACAAGACCATCTAGTCCAACCCCCTTCTGTCATAATATGCCGCCTTTCTCACCCCGAAAGTGACTCAGAGCGGCTTACAAGGTATATATTACATACAATATATTATATTATTAGCATAGTACAATATCAGCATTAAACATTGGTCTATTACACCATACCACTATATCGTAATAGTATTAGTAATATTACATCTATATAAATAAAATGTAATGTTCGTTTGTGGGATTAACATAACTAAAAAACCACTGGACGAAATGACATGAAATTTGGAAACAACACCCCTAACAGACCAACGAGTGACTATCACTCATAACCCCCCCTCCCAAAAAAAACAAAAAACAGTGAAAGAACGGAAGAGCAGGGGAAAGAAGGAAGGAAGCATGGAAAGCAAAGAGCGAAGGACAGGAAAGAGGTAGAGAAGGAAAAGAGAAAGAGAAAGAAAAAAGGAGGGAAGGAAGGAGAGCGACGGAAGGAGGGAAAGAAGGAGAGAAAGAGAAAGGGAAGGAAAGAAGGAAAGACAGAAGGAAAGATGGAAGCAAAAAGCAAAGGAAGGAAGGAAAGAGGTAGAGAAGGAAGGAAGGAGAGAAGGAAAAAAAAAAGGGAAGGAAGGAAGGAAAGGGAGCAAAGGAAGGAGGGAAAGGAGAGAAAGAGGGAAGGAAGGTTGGCCACAGCAAGGCGTGGCAGATACAGCTAGTGTATTATAAATATATAACTATAATATATTATTATTACATTGCATTGCATTATAATATTATAAATATTATATATATACAATATATTATATTATATTTATTATATTATTAGAATAGCACAGGAGACAAGGTGGAACTGAGCTTTATGGAAGCTGCAATATAAGGAAGTAGTGTTTCCAAACTCTTCTCTCTGAATCAGGGACTAAACCACTATGTCCTTTGCCACCTACTTGTAGAGCTGTAGAAACTCTGGATGTGGATTCACAGGGTCCAGCGGTCCGTAAATCAGATGCACTGCAAGAGAAGAGAAAGAGCAAGGAAAGGGAGAAATTGGAGGATCCTTTATTATTTATCTATTTATTTATTTACGCCATTTATACGCCGCCATTTTCACCCCGAAGAGGACTCAGAGCAGCTTACAAGGTATATATTGCATACAAAATATTGTATTATTAGCATAGTCCTTTGTGATATCACAAATGACTACCATCTCACCCGCCTCATGGGAAACCTACTACAAAACAGAAGCTTTTCTGTTGAGTTCCAGGGCCAGAGAAGCAGATGGTGGAAACAGAAGAACGGCCTGCCTCAGGGGAGTGTGCTTGCTCCATCCATGTTCAACATTTACACAAATGACCAGCCACTGCCAGAAGGGACAGAGAGTTTCATCTATGCTGATGATCGTGCCATCACCGCTCAAGCAGGGAGCTTTGAGATGGTTGAACAGAAGCTCTCCGAAGCTCTAGGTGCTCTTACTGCCTATTACAGGGAAAACCAGCTGATCCCTAATCCATCTAAAACACAGACATGTGCCTTTCATCTCAAGAACAGACAAGCATCCCGAGCTCTGAGATGACCTGGGAAGGAATCCCACTGGAGCATTGCAGCGCACCCAAATACCTGGGAGTCACTCTGGACCGTGCTCTGACCTACAAGAAGCACTGCCTGAACATCAAGCAAAAAGTGGGCGCTAGAAACAATATCATACGAAAGCTGACTGGCACAACCTGGGGATCACAACCAGACACAGTGAAGACATCTGCCCTTGCGCTGTGCTACTCTGCTGCTGAGTATGCATGCCCAGTGTGGAACACATTTCACCACACTAAAACAGTGGATGTGGCTTTTAATGAGACATGCCACATTATCACGGGGTGTCTGCACCCTACACCACTGGAGAAATTACACTGCTTAGCCGGTATTGCACCACCTGACATCCGCCGGGAAGTGGCAGCCAATAGTGAAAGGACCAAGGCAGAGACATCTCCAGCTCATCCCCTGTTTGGGTATCAGCCAGCAAAACAACGACTGAAATGAAGAAATAGTTTTCTAAGATCTACAGAGACACTCGCTGGAACACCTCAGCAAGCGAGAGTCCAAAAGTGGCAGGCTCAAACCCAGAACCTCAATCAATGGCTGATACCAAATGAGAGACTCCCCCCTGGGCACACAGAAGACTGGGCGACCTGGAAGGCGCTGAACAGACTGCGCTCTGGCACCACGAGATGCAGAGCCAACCTTCAGAAATGGGACCATAACACAGGAAAGCCACTTCCAACTCACAGGGAACAGATGTGGATTCCAAGGCTCCGACCCAGCGGTCCCTGTGCTTCTTCCTTTGGTTGATGAACTGCAAAACGCTGGAGAAAAAACAAAGCCCAGGCATTAAAACATGCTCAGAGCCCGAGAGGGGTCTCTTCTTCATGCTCTGGGGAAGCTAGTTAGTAAACAGCTGTATTATATCACTACTGACTGAGAGGTCGTGAGTTCGAAGCCAGCCTGGGTCGGAGTGAGCTCCCGACCATTAATAGTCTAGCTTGCTGTCGACCTATGCAGCCCGAAAGACAGTTGCATCTGTCAAGAAGGTAATTTAGGTACCGCTTTACGCGTGGAAGCTAATTTAACTAATTTACGAATCCATAAAACCTTCCAGCAGCATGCGTAGGAATGAGGAAGTACTCCATCAAGTGGACGGTGAAGCAGCAGCTCCCCCTGTGGCCAAAATTGAGCATATCCTCATGAAGCCAGTAAAGCTGGAATGTTGAATTGCCTCTGTGTCTGTGTATATATATATGTGTGTGTGTGTGTTGTATGTCTAAATTGGCATTGCATGTTTGCCATGTACATGTGCATCGTAATCCGTCCTGAGTCCCCTGTGGAGTGAGAAGGGTGGAATATAAATACTGCAAATATATAAATAGGATTTTCATCATTCATAGAATCATAGAATAATCGAGTTGGAAGAGACCCCATGGACTATCTAGTCCAACCCCCTTCTGCCATGCAGGAAAAGCACAATCAGAACACCACTGACAGATGACCACCCATCCTCTGTTTAAAACCTTCCAAGAAAGGAGCTTCCACCACACTCCGGGAGGCAGAGAGTTCCACCGCTGAACAGGTCATGAGTTCAAAGCCAGCCAGGGTCGGAGTGAGCTCCCGATCATTAATAGTCTAGCTTGCTGTTGGCCTATGCAGCCCTAAAGACAGTTGCATCTCTCAAGTAGGAAATTTAGGTACTGCTTTATGCGTGGATGCTAATTTAACTAATTTACAAACCCATAAAACCTTCCAGCAGCGTGCGTAGGAATGAGGAAGTACTCCATCAAGTGGACGGTGAAGCAACAGCTCCCCCTGTGGCCAAAATTGAGCATATCCTCATGAAATCAGAAAAGCTGGAATGTGAAATTGCCTCTCTGTCTGTGTGTGTATGTGTGTGTGTGTGTGTGTATAATATACTAGCTGTCCCCTGCCACGCGTTACTGTAGCCCAGTCTGGTGATCTGGAATATAAAGTAATGAGAAAGTGTTGGTTTGTAATATATGTAATTTCTTTCTGCTTGTGGGTAAACAGTATTTCTTGCTGTTTCTTTGTCAGTGTTGATGTGGAGAGTGTCTGGTTTGCCTAATCAGGAACATGCAACATATAATTATCCTTCTTCAGGGGTCCCTTTCACATCTATGATACTATATCTGTGTGTGTGTGAATCATATCTATCTATATCTATGGCTGGATGGCTCTTTGTCAGGAGGGCTTTGATTATGTTTCCTTGCTCTGGTGAAGGGAGTTGGACTGGATGGCCTTAAGTATTTTCTGTTGGTCATGGGGTTCTGTGTGGGAAGTTTGCCCAATTCTGTCATTTGTGGGGTTCAGAATGCTCTTTGATTGTAGGTGAACTATAAATCCCAGTAGCTACAACTCCCAAATGTCAAGGTCTATTTTCCCCAAACTCCATCTGTGTTCACATTTGGGCATATTGAGTATCTGTGCCAAGTTTGGTCCAGATCCATCATTGTTTGAGTCCACAGTGCTCTCTGGATGTAGGTGAACTACAACTCCAAACTCAAGGTCAATTCCCACCAAACCCTTCTAGTATTTTCTGTTGGTCATGGGAGTGCTGTGTGCCACGTTTGGTTCAATTCTATCATTGGTGGAGTTCAGAATGCTCTTTGATTGTAGGTGAACTATAAATCCCAGCAACTACAAGTCCCAAATGTCAAGGTCTATTTCCCCCAAACTTCACCAATGTTCACATTTGGGCATATTGAATATTCGTGCCAAGTTTGGTCCAGATCCATCATTGTTTGAGTCCACAGTGCTCTCTGGATGTAGGCAAACTACAACGCCAAAACCCAAGGTCAATGCCCACCAAGCCCTTCCAGTATTTTCTGTTGCTCATGGGAGTTCTGTGTGCCAAGTTTGGTTCAATTCTATCATTGGTGGAGTTCAGAATGCTCTTTGATTGTAGGTGAACTATAAATCCCAGCAACTACAACTCCCAAATGACAAAATCATTTTTTAGTGATGGTCATTTGGTAGATTTTGTTTAGTGCTCTCCTAGAGCTGGCTTTTCAGTGAATGAAGCACTCCAGGTTATTCCAGGTAAAGGTAATAGGACCCAGGTGAGATGCTTATTGGATTCCCAAAACACAAAGGAAGGGCCAGAGGGGTGAAAGAGGAGAGCTCAGGCATGCCGGATCTCTTTCCTCTGCTTTGAAAGGAAAACCTCAGCGTAGAGAACAGCCATTCACAAGCTCACAAGCTCATATCTATCAGGCTCCAAACATCTTCTCTGCAGGCCAAACATGGCATTCTAGGTTTCCTCAATGGCTAAAATAAATGGGGGCCATGATGTCCCATTTCCCGGAACAAGCACAAAACCCTTTATTTACAAAAGGTATTGCTCCTTCCCCGTTTGACCCACCAATTACTCCTTCCTCCATCATTGGCGATCCCTTGTGTCCAAGTAAGATGGCCTTCAAAGCGTAGGGTCTCGGTGGTGGGTCCAGAGGTGGCTGTAGCGACCTATTCTGGACCTGAATGTTCTTCCGCAATGAGGACATCGGTTTCGAGGTGGAAGGTGGTCCTGACAAGGATTGGCTTGAGGCACCTCCTTCCTCTTGATGAGTTTTTCCCCTTTCACCCTCCATTTGTGGCTCTTCAAATTCCACAGCACTGTTGGTAACAGCTGACCTCTACTTAGACAACTGGTTCCCCCTTTTTTTGACCAGGGACCACTCACTCTCCAAGATTAGTACCAAAATCGGTTTTTGATCAACTTGAGATTTGGATTGGTTATCTGGGGTGCTGATTCTGAAAATGGCATTGGATAGACCACATCAGTTCTAGTTTCTGATACAGAACATATGCCATCCAGTAGTCACCATCTATCTGCACTCCAGCAAAGCATACGGGGAATGTGGAAGTACTTCATCAGTGTCGCAAATGGATGATGAAAGCGACAGCTCCCCTGGCGGCCAGAAAAATTAAATAGTCTCTGACTGTCCATCTATATCTGTTGTGTGTCTTTGGCATTGAATGTTTGCCATATATGTGTACACTGTAATCCGCCCTGAGTCCCCTGAGGGGTGAGAAGGGTGGAATAGAAATACTGTAAATAAATAAATAAATAAACTTCCTGGGAAGGAGGAGCAACCCAACACAGAACATTCATCCTTTTGTTCCCTCTCCTCAGCATTAAAGCCATACTAGAAACAATATCATATGAAAGCTGACTGGCACAACCTGGAGATCACAACCAGACACAGTGAAGGCATCTGCCCTTGCGCTATGCTACTCTGCTGCTGAGTACGCATGCCCAGTGTGGAACACATCTCACCACATTAAAACAGTGGATGTGGCTCTTAATGAGACATGCCACATTATCACGGGGTGTCTGCGCCCTACACCACTGGAGAAATTACACTGTTTAGCCGGTATTGCACCACCTGACATCCGCTGGGAAGTAGCAGCCAATAGTGAAAGGACCGAGGCAGAGACATCTCCAGCTCATCCCTTGTTTGGGTATCAGCCAGCACATCAATGACTTAAATCTTGAAGGTCACAACAACATCTGTTATAGAACTCCAATATGCAGATGATAATGTAGTCTGTGCGAGAGTTGCCAGATGTTCAAGCTGGGTTCAGAAAAGGCAGAGGAACGAGAGACCAGATTGCCAATATCCGCTGGATAATGGAGAAAGGCAGGGAGTTTCAGAAAAACATCTACTTCTGCTTTATTGACTATTCTAAAGCCTTTGACTGTGTGGATCATAATAAATTGTGGCAATTCTTAGTGGGATGGGCATCCCAAGACACCTTGTCTCTCTCCTGAGGAATCTGTACAAGGACCAAGTAGCAACAGTAAGAACTGACCACGGAACAACAGACTGGTTCAAGATTGGGAAAGGCGTACGGCAAGGCTGCATCCTCTCACCCAACCTTTTTAACTTGTATGCAGAACACATCATGCGATGTTCGGGGCTGGATGAATGCAAAGCTGGGGTGAAAATTGCTGGAAGAAACATTAACAACCTCAGATATGCAGATGACACCACTCTGATGGCCGAAAGCGAGGAGGAGGTGAGGAGCCTTCTAATCAAGGTGAAAGAAGAAAGCGCAAAAGCCGGGTTGCAGCTAAACGTCAAAAAAACCAAGATTATGGCAACAAGAATGATTGACAACTGGAAAATAGAAGGAGAAACCGTGGAGGCCGTGACAGACTTTGTATTTCTAGGGGCAAAGATTACTGCAGATGCAGACTGTAGCCAGGAAATCAGAAGACGCTTACTTCTTGGGAGGAGAGCAATGTCCAGTCTCGATAAAATAGTGAAGAGTAGAGACATCAGACTGACAACAAAGATCCGCCTAGTCAAAGCCATGGTATTACCCTGTAGTCACCTACGGATGTGAGAGCTGGACCTTAGGGAAGGCTGAGCGAAGGAAGATTGATGCTTTTGAGCTGTGGTGTTGGAGGAAAGTGCTGAGAGTGCCTTGGACTGCGAGAAGATCCAACCAGTCCATCCTCCAGGAAATAAAGCCCGACTGCTCATGGAGGGAAGGAGACTAGAGACAAAGTTGAAGTACTTTGGCCACATCAGACAGGAAAGCCTAGAGAAGACAATTATGCTGGGGAAAGTGGAAGGTAAAAGGAAGAGGGGCCGACCAAAGGCAAGATGGATGGATGGCATCCTTGAAGTGACTGGACTGACCTTGAAGGAGCTGGGGGTGGTGACGGCCAACAGGGAGCTCTGGCGTGGGCTGGTCCATGAGGTCACGAAGAGTCGGAGACGACTGAACGAATGAACAACAACAACAATAGTCTGTGCGCATTCAGAAGACCTACAAGTCACTCCTTCCTTACAAGGCTGCTAGCAATGTAGCTATTCAGATTGCAAAGCATCTCGCTCATTATTCTTTGCAACTAGTGTCCATACCTGTCAATCACAAGGTTGCCATCATTTGTCCGAACCGCCGTCCACATGTCCCAATATTCAGCATCTGAAGGCTGAGTGTATGGACCAAAGACCGCCGAAAGCCTAGAAAGATTCCAAAAAGAGAGCAAGAGACCACCGTTCAGATCCCATGAGGCCTAAATTGGGAAGCAAGAGTGGGCAAAGAGTGGCCCAAGGGCTAAAGCAGGCATGGGCCAACTTTGGCCCTCCAGGTGTTTTGGACCTCAACTCTCACAATTCCTAACAGCCTATCAGCTGTTAGGAATTGTGGGAGTTGAAGTCCAAAACACCTGGAGGGCCAAAGTTGGCCCATGCCTGCCCTAGAGGCATTTCGGTGTATTTTTTCCCATTTTGGATTGTAGAGAAGCAAATAAACAAACCCACCCTTTGGTAAAGAAGAAATAGTTTGACAGCCGGGTAATAACGGGTGCCAGAAAGCCACCGTCCTTGAGAATCTGCAAAACAAAAGAAAAAGGGAAATGACAAACTGATTCTGAAGCAAGAGTTTGCAAAGCACAACACAGATAGAGTTGGGTTTCTTTTGCTCTTCACCAAATAAAGAACATATATTGAGAAGTCTCCTCTGTTAGGACAATTTGATCCTTAGGACTGCAGTTTTGTGCTTGCATTTCCAACATATAGTGTCCTTATCACTGAGTTTTCTTGGCCATATTTGTTTATTATTATTGTTATTGTTATTGCTTGAAACACAACAAGATGAGTCCACAGCAGACACTCTGCTGGCTGTTGTATTGGATCACACTTTGGACACTTCCCAAGTGTCTAGGACTGTGTGATGTATATTATTAATATTGTTGCTGTTGTTGTTATTATTTGAAACACAACAAGATGAGTCAAACAGCAGACACTCTGCTGGCTGTTGTATTGGATCACACGTCGGGCCCTTCCCAAGTGTCTAGGACTGTGTGATGTATCAGCAAATAATGTGTGCAGATCCCAGTAAGGTGGCCTTCTGCAGCTGACAGATGGTAATTTTGTCAGCGCCGATTGTGTTTAAGTGCAGGCCAAGGTCTTTAGGCACTGCACCTAGTGTGCCGATCACCACTGGGACCCCCTTGATTGGTTTGTGCCAGAGTCTTTGCAGTTTGATCTTTAAATCCTCATATCGTGTCAGCTTTTCCAGTTGTTTCTCTTCAATCCTGCTGTCACCTGGGATTGCAACATCGATGAACCATACTTTGTTTTTTAACACGATTGTGAGGTCAAGAGTATTATGCTCCAAAACTCTGTCTGTCTGAATCCAGAAGTCCCAGAGGAGTTTGGCGTGTTCATTCTCTGTAACTTTTTCCAGCTTGTGATCCTACCAGTTCCTTGTCGCAGGCAGATGGTGTTTGTTGCACAAGTTCCAATGAATCATCTGAGCAATGGTGTTGTGCCTCTGCTTGTAGTCTGTCTGCGCAATCTTCTTGCAGCAGCTGAGGATGTGATCTATTGTTTCATCTGCTTCCTTGCAGAGTCTACGTTTGGGATCTGCCATCGACTTTTCAATTCTGGCTTTGATGGCATTGGTTCTATTATTATTAGTATTATTGGTTGTTGTTGTTGTTGTTGTTGTTGTTGTTGTTGTTGTTGTTATTATTATTATTATTATTATTATTATTATTATTCCTTGAGGAGGAGAGTGTGTGATTTGCCCAGGGTCACACAATGGATTTCGATGGCCAACCCTGGTCTCTTACAATAGGATATGAAGGAGCGAAATCACTCACCTTTTGAATGAATCTTGGATGGTGAGTTTCTGGGAAAATACCTGAAAGATACAAAGAGAGACTTAATTAGGAGTTTTGATGCAACAGCTTGCCATACAATGAGAATTATTTTATCTGACACTTTGATGATAATCAAAAATTATTTCTTTTACTTCCTCCTCCTCCTCCTCTTCTTTTTCCTCCTCCTCCTCCTCCTCTTCCTCCTCCTCTTCTTCTTCCTCCTCTTCCTCCTCCTCCTCCTCTTCCTCCTCCTCCTCTTCTTCCTCCTCCTCCTCTTCTCTCCTCCTCCTCCTCTTCTCCTCTTTCTTCTTCTCCTCCTCCTCCTCTTCCCTCCTCTTCTTCCTCCTCCTCCTCTTCTCCTCTCCTCTTCTTCTCCCTCTTCCTCCTCCTCTTCCTCCTCTCTTCCTTCTCCTCTTCCTTCTCTTCCTCTCCTCCTCTTCTTCTCTCCTCCTCTTCCTCCTCCTCTTCCCCTCCTCCTTTCTTCTTCTCCTCCTCTTCCTCCTCTCTC